CTTGCGCAGAGATATGTCGCAGAGAGGGGATATGTCGCAGAGAGGTTGCGCAGTGAGCCTGCGAAGGGGTATGTCACAGAGAGGTTGCGCAGAGAGCCTGCGCAGAGAGGCTGCGCAGAGAACTTGCGCAGAGACACGTTGCAGACAGGAGCAGCAAGCAGCTTTGCTTACTTGTGCCACCGAGCGACTGCCCCATGAAGCCGCGTGCGTAGGCCCATTGTTTGCATGCTTGAGAGAATGGTCGCCGTGGCTCAACGTCAGCTGGCCCATTTTGGATCAAGATCCGCGAAAGATTCGCGAAAGATCCGCGCAAGCCTATGGACATCGCGGCAAGGTTCGCACATGGCTTCGAAACGGCGCCCCGCAGGCACGATCAGTAGGCCAGCGCGGGCAGAAGCGCCCTGCTGACGCTTTGCCAGCTGACTCTGTGACAAAGCTCAAGAACGAGTGCCGCACGCAGACCCAGCTGCGGCTAGGAGAAGCCCTAGTGGAAGCGGCCAAATGCCGCCAAACCGAACATGGCGGGGCTGTGCGAACCATGAAGATGCAGCTGGCGTACAACTTTTTCATGCAGCTAACGCCAGAAGAGCAGGACCAAGTGTGCCCATTGGCACGGTCTTTGCGTGCAGGCCGGGCAGATGAGTTTGCCCAGAGGTACCTGGCAGAATGTTCCATTGGAAGCAGCGGAAGCAGCGCAGCGCCAGCTATGTTGGCAGAGGCAGCGCGGAGCCTGCGGTTGAGGAACCTGCTGTTGCCGCTGTTGTGGTGGGTGAAGCCAAGGAAGTGCCGGCCGGAGCGTTTGCCAACTGTGCGCATCCGCAAAGGCAGATGAGCAGGCATGCCCGAAAGCTAGATGATGACCTGGTGGCCAAAGTCACAACAGCGCAGGAAGCGGAAGTCTTAGCCAAGGTTCGCAAGCTGGTCGCTCGCCGACTGGCGCCGGAGAAGCCAGAGGCTGAGGTCTCCGCTGCGGGATGCGACTTGTGCTGCAAGATTGGCAAGGAGATCGGCGCCTACCGCGCAGCGCTAGCTGTTCGCCAAGGTGATGTCCAGGCACTGGACGCCCGCTTGGTTGCAGCCGTTCCAAGCAGGAAAAAATGGCACGCCTTAGGCGTGGCCATCTCCCGGCTCAAATGGGAGCAGGCGGTGGGCGAGGCTAACAACGCCAACGGCAAGTCGTCAGCGCAGCTAATGTTGCAACAGGAGTTTTAGCGCCTGCGAACCATACTCCGAAGCAGAATCACACCCGCTCATCATACCCCTCATCCAAACTTCCCCGTTTGAGCACCGCGTTTTGGCTCACACCCATGTTCATACACCAATTCATATTCACACACACATACACACATATACATCTACGTATACACATATACACATATATACATATACATACATGCACACACAGGTATGCACACAGACATGTGCATACTCACGTACGTACGCAGACACACAGACATACAGGACACGTACTTACGTACTTCCATACGTTTTGTCTTTCTGCGTGCCTGCCTGCCTGCCTGCCTGCCTGCCTGCCTGCCTGCCTCTCTGTTTGTCTGTCTTTCTGTCTTTCTGCCTGTCTGTCTGTCTGTCTGAATTTATGTAGGCAAGTGTGTGTGTGGTGTGTGTTCTAAACGGTTTTTGGACGCCCTGAACAAGGTCGATGCAAAACAGCGGCTCATATTTGTAAAGGGGGAAACAGTAAACCCTGATTGGCTGCCCTCGACCATGTTTCAACTGCCACAAGTGGGTCTGCCACAAGTGATTGGCTGCACTCGTTTGGCGCTCTTTCCAAGGGTGAATCCACAGACGGGGCGCCCGAAACCACTCTGCCAGGCGCCTTTGTCGAATGCCTCGACCTCAGTCAACGGGCCATCAACAGGGGGCTTTTGCGGTTGCCCAGCCGCTGACAGGAATGACTTCCGCTGGCATTATGTAATTGGCTGACGCCTGGAATTATACTCTGTGACGTTTGGCCGGGAACGCTCGCATTGGACGTGTCGTTTTTTGTTTGGCACCATATTTTTCCGCTTGGGGTTGTTGGATTTTAAGTGACATCCGGCCGCCACAACCAGCCCGCCCACTGACAGAGGCTGACTGCTGATGTTGATGTGACAGATATGCAGACAGCTGGGACGGAGCCTGTGTGCCTGTGGCAAGGGCGGACAGCCGCGACTGTCTGAGGCCCCCGAGACAGCGCAGCCGTAATGGTCTCAAGTGTTACCTTGGTCGGGCCAGCAGGGCTGGGACAGTCCGAAGTGTGCCTTTTCACGTACCACATCAACTACAGCAGGGTTTGGCGCGCTTTGCTTGTCAGGCTACAGCGGCTTGTGAGGTTCTAGCGCTTCTACTGCTCAAGACGCTACCGCTGCCACTTCTTGCCGCGGTATGACATTTCCTTGTGAGAGGTGGTTCACTTGGCAGCAGCTCTGGGATGTATTGAGCAGGGGTCAACAGCACGTGGCTGTCCACTGTTTTTGTTTTGCTTACGAAACCTGATCGCTAATCAGGGTTGAGCTCGCCTGTGCCGGCAGGCTTTAGAAGTCAGCGCCTGATCGGCGTCAAACAACCTCTTCCAGCGACGCGTCTTCTGAGCATTTGAGTTGGTAAATGTTTTTTTGCTGAAGGGAAACAAGGCCCATGCCGGGTGAAAACCTATCATATTTACGCACCATGTCAGAAACATGATATCACTGCAACCCCCACCCATAGCTCCGCGAAAGGTGACAAACATTTTCTGGTGTCTACAACAAGAATAAAACAACAAAACAGACAAAACTAGGATGACCAAACATAGCTTCAATACCAAAATGCGGAGACAAAAGAAAACAATACCATATTGAAGCGTGTGTCATTTTTTCAACATCCAGCGAAAGACAGACAGTACCAACGATCCAGCAGGCCCGGCCCAGCGTCGGTCGGCGTCGTGTCGCCTAGGATCAATGTGGCCGTGGCGGCGGCCGGGGGTCACCTCCTGCGGGAAACCCTCGACCAGGCTAGGGCTGGGTGCATCTCAAAACGCAAAACCTCAAGTCGGGCGCTTTGTGTCTGGGTGTTTTTGGGGAACGTTTTTTTTGAGTGATGTAAAAGGGAAACCAGAAGGAAACCAACCATGTTTGTAGGTCCCACCCCCCAAAAGGTGGTTGTGCTTCTGGTTTTCCTTTGGAAAAGGGTGCTCTCAAAGAAAGGGGAGCTACGTATTGTGGGTATGGGTATGCGTTGTAATTGGAGACCCCTTGATGGACATCGGAATTCGGTGGGGACCGAATAGCAGGAGGGTTCTCCGAATAAATTCCCCGACCTCTTTTTGGTTGAAGTTTTCAAGGGAGGCTTGAAGGAAACCAAGTGTTTTAGGGGACCACTATTTTGAGAAACACCCGGGCGGGTTGCTTACTTGACGCCCTGAGTTGGGCTTGATAGTTTTTTGGCAATACAGTGCTAGTGGAAGACATCAAAAGACTCTTGTTTGCAAGTTCTCTCAGGAAGCGAGAGAGGGACCGCTTTCCCCCCAGAAGTGTTGGTGTTCCTTTTGCCTTTATATAAACCAAGCTGAAAGGGGCACCCTCAAAACAAGTGCGTCATCCGGATTTGTAGGTGACTAAATTTGAGGAATCGGATATGGGTGGGTTCCTTTTATTTTACCCTTCAACAGTGCAAAACGGTGATCCCTATTTTTTAGGAAATACCAAAGGGTCTTTTCACCAGAAACGTTTTCAAAGCCAGTTCTGCTCGCCAAATGACTGGTTTCACTTCTCGAAGGCACCCAGAAGGGTTGGCTTTCGGAGAACCTAAGCGAAATCCACCAGTGAGGTTTCGTTGGTTTCCCTCGGCTGAGTCCCGGCTGAGCCACTTTACCATGCGCAAATGCCAGCAAATCGGAGCCCAGATCTGCGTTATCTTTCGAGCGCATCATTCGTTCGTTATGATTGGTTGCATAAGTTGAGAGGCGAGTTTGGCGCACTTGCGAGGTTTCGTGCGCGCATGCCAGCACATCTGAAGAAATCGGCCTGGGCTACGGAAGGTTCGGAATCGTGACCCAACCCACGCAACCATGGCTTGGTGCACAGCCAATTGGAAGTAGACGTTCTTGCGCCAAGTTGGGAGGGCAACACCAAGTGACAAGTTAGGAATTGAGGCCTCGGAGTGCAAATTATCACAGACGCTAGATATAGATGGCTAACTGCACACATCTCCATGCTGATGCCAGCAACTGTCGGTCTCTTGTGTGGATTGCCAAGGCAGACCCGGTTGCCTTGTCACCCCACTTGTTCTCTTTAACTTGTGACGAAATGAGGTTGGCATTTTTCCCGCCACTGGGAAGTAAGAAGAACTGCGAGGTTTGGATTGCAGCTGTTGGCTCAAGACTCCGCGACTGGGAGCTGCCCTGCACAAGTTGACAAGAAACTGGGTGCCCAGTAACCGATGGAACTCTCGCGGGGATGGGTATGTCTTGCACCCTTGGTTTACAGCTAGTTTTTTGCTGAGCGGGTCTTTGACACTGACCGAAATACCCCACCTTGTGAACTTGGTGGAGAATCCACTTCAGCCAGGGACACTGGGAGCAGACCGCTGAAGAGGTTCTCCAAACAGGCGACGGCAAGTTGCTAAGCGCTTCATGTTGACCGCCAAAGACAGGCAAAAGCAACACTACAAAGCATGCAAACCATTTGCAACATGCGGCATTCTATTGGCATCACCTCTGAACCAATTAGACCAAGCTGACCTGGGAAACTCGCAAAATGCGAGCTTCCTCGCCCTGATTTTCATATCCACGTGACCACTTGAACAAAAGGCGCTGGCCACTGCAGGGGCCGATGGCGTTTCGAGCAGCGTAGTTCGGAACGCGGCCCGCCATGTGCCTCGGATGGACCGGGCTTGGAAACCAGAAGGAATCCAGCCAGTGTAAGGCTCATTCTGTTTGAGGATGCACAAAGTTGCTACACACACCATTTACCTTGCGAACTTCAGTGCTCGTTGCCGAAGGCAGGCATTGAGTTACTCTCATGGGTGAGATGAGCAACGAGTTTGACAGCTCTGCGATCCTGAAAGAGCAGCAGCTTGGTCTAGACAACCGTTCGGACGTTGTGAGGACTTTACTGATTTGTACCCCTCTTTGCAAGCTTTGTACTCTTCAAGTAGCCTTCCAGGGTCCACAGAATTCGTATCAAGCCGCCCTGGAATTCGGGCCTGCCTCTGTGCCTCAAACGACTCTGCCGAAACTTGTGCCCTGCGACCGAGGCGATTGAATGCGAAGCTTCGCATCAGAGGCCCGGCATCTCGGACGGGATTGGGTCCTGCACCCAGGCGGTTCGTGACCGAAATCACAATGTAACATGGCAGCAAAATAGATTTGGCGCAGAGCAATTTGTATGTGCAAAGTCAGGTGTTGGCAATTTGTGTTTCAATATACTTGGAACCAGCACGCGATGGCCCATCATGTCCATTATGTTTCCTTTGGTTCTTGTGCCTTGCTCGTCCACCCTCACGGCCTCACGGCTCCCCTTTGCCAGGCGCTCGCTGCGAGCTGGTGCCCTACCAGAGATGGATGGTGCCCATCTACCACTCCTGGATGCAGGCTGCTCTCCGCGTGCTTCGCGCGCTTCGCGCGCGCGCGGTTTGGCGGGGCTGGTTGATTCGTGTGGGTTCTAACATGTCGTCTTTGGGCTTTCCTGGGGTTTTGTAAGGGTTTTCCCGCAGTTTTTCCGGGTATTGCAATGGATTCCGGGAGGGTCCTTGGTTGGGAGATGTTTACAATTTATCATTATTTCTCAGTTTGGGAATTATAACAGCTTGCCCAGGTCTCCATGCATCGCCCCAAGAGAAACCACGAGAAACAGCTGTCTTATACACTTGTGCAAGTTCAAGGAGTCATGGGTACGAAGGACAGATTAGGATCATTCGCAGAGATGGGCCAAAGTAAGTTTGAAACCTCTCACACATGGATGCACGTTGACACGTTTTCAGCGTGCGGCTTCGCCTCACTGCTCGAGGCTGTTTAATTGGCTCTGATCTTTGCTTGGTTCTGAAGTTCTGAGCATTTTGGAGTGGGATCGGCGCAGAAAAATCCGTGTTTTGCTAACCGGTTCCAGGTTGCCCTTTGTCCCTTTCTTGGTTGGGAGGGTTCCCCTACAAAAATAGGCAAAACTGGAAAAGAAGAAGAAACAAGAACGGGACCGTTCCCCTACTAAAATAGACAAAACTGAAAAAGATCGGGACCCCTTATTCTCACTTCCTGAGTTGGTGGACTTTAAGCTTTTTGGAAAGACCATTTTAGTGGTGAATACAAAGTTTAAACTTTTTTTGGCCAGTCAACTTGGGAAGCGAGTTGTTCCAACCTCTCAACTCTGGACCTCGGGTTGTCTCACGCGGGTCATCGGCGAGGACCCCGAGTTGTTGGAGCTCACGGCGTCCGAGCCCCTCAGCCTGGAGGAGGAGACCGGAAACGTGGGGTGTCGGAAAACTTGCGCCCGGGGGGAGTTTGCTATGATTAGAGATAAAAAGACATATATATATATATATATTGTGTTTTATGGTTTTTTGGTATTTTTGAAGTGGTTTATATTTTATGAAATCCTGATTTGGAACAGACAGTTATTGTAAATTAGCTTGTAATGGAACATTTTCCATTTGAGCAAGAAAACCAAGCAATCAGGCCATGCTTTCAGGTGTTGGGTTTTTGTAGGTTCAGGTGTCCTGGCATGTTCTGGCAAGTGGGCCCTTTGGCGCAAGCTCAAGCCAAGGGAGGTTGATGCACTCAACTGGGCGGCCTGCTCCCAAGATTCAAATGCAGCATGCTAGGGTACACTCATTATGCTTCAGAACCAGAAATTGAAGACATTGGGTTTGGTAGCTCAGAGTTGGGCCACGTGTTGTGGTTTGTTTGGTGCTGTTTTACTGTTCATATATTTTGGTGTCATCATTGCAATTGATTGAAATTGCGTTTCTTAGCTTGATTAGTTATTTTGTGCTTTTGCCAGTTTCGGGGCTTATTGGTGCGGATGTCCAGGCGAACACGGTCAAGCCATCGGGGTTTCCGACTGATTGCATTCCCGACTGTAAGTTCACTGAGCCCGCAGATACTGATGGACAAACTTCTTCACCAGTTGGTTCACTAGGTGGTTTCTGTATCCCAGTCTTCATGGGGCTTCATCCATCGCAACAGATCCGGTTCGGATTTGGCCTATCCACAGCTCAGAGTGTTCCACCAGTACTCTGTGCAATTCTTTGCAGTCGGCTCAGGAGTATGAGATGCAGCAGTCCTGGCAAGACTCGGAGGACCTGATATGAACCCTGGGGGGGGGTTAGGCTGGGCTGACGCACGCACAGACACACAGACAGACAGACAGACAGACACACAGACACACAGACACACAGACACACAGACACACAGACACACAGACACACAGACACACAGACACACAGACACACAGACACACAGACACACAGACACACAGACACACAGACACACAGACACACAGACACAGACACACAGACACACAGACACACAGACACACAGACACACAGACACACAGACACACAGACACACAGACACACAGACACACAGACACACAGACACACAGACACACAGACACACAGACACACAGACACACAGACACACAGACACACAGACACACAGACACACAGACACACAGACACACAGACACACAGACACACAGACACACAGACACACAGACAGACACACAGACACACAGACACACAGACACACAGACACACAGACACACAGACACACAGACAGACAGACAGACAGACAGACAGACAGACAGACAGACAGACAGACACACACACACACACACACACACACATGAGCAACCGTCAAAACTCGCGTTATCTAGAATATGTATTCGGCGGACATCCGCTTTCCAAAAGTGAAGAAAGCTGGGGGAAGCGATGGGGGCGTCCCAAACGCGATGCCCTGCTCTTGTATGTGTCAACTTTCAGAGAGGGGATATTGCTTGCGCTACTTGAGCGCGGAGGTTCAGAGGAAAACCAAGCAGACACCATCCATATCGCAAGTCCCTCACAAAACGACAAACCCATATCAACACTTGACAGCTGTTGGTTGCTAGATTAGATGTGCCAGGTGGCGCATGGCTGTGCTTGACGCCAGACCACCATATAACATGTAAAAAGAAGACGCGCCGAAGCGATGCCCAAAGCGATGCCCAAACGATGCCCGAAGCGATGCCCAAAGGTCTTCAAGTTGCCCAGCTAAGCTAGCTGCCCATTTGGGTGAACAACGCTTGCCTTTGTTGGACAGCCCTTGTTTTTGGTTTACCATCCTGCAGCAGAACCTGCGCAACTCTGAGTCTCGGCCTGCAGTAGCTTCAGCAGCATATTCAACAACACCCTGCAGCAGCACTCTGCAACAGCACCCTGCAGCAGCGCCCTGCAGATGCGCAAGCTGGTCGTGTATGAAAAAGACATCCAGGGGGGACCAATTAAGTTTAGTAGCGCAGGTTGGCTTGGATTCCAAGAAGCAGATTATTATGTTTGGAATCCTTTCGACTTGGACAATTTGGGCAATGGGCCCATTGCAACACTAGACATGCCCGTATTTGAACATACAATATGTAAGAGCGATGCCCTGAAAAACAAGAACGCGCAAAAATGTGCGGGAAGCGATGGGGGCATCCCAAATTGGCGGTGTCCTTTGCGGGATACAAGGAGCTTAGACAGCCGCATATATATATATATGTCTATATACGTATTTATAAATACACATACTGCGTCTCCAGTGTTTTTTCTCAACATCGATAGCCAGGGCCTTGGGCCATGGGTTCCACTCCCAGGGGGTCGCGAACCCTGAAATGGGCTCTGGTTTCGCGTTAACACCCCCCCCGAAAAGGGGAACCCTGAACAAGACATATACACAAATTTCATACATAACAGGCGCAACAGGTACATTCATATATATATATATATATGTATATATTGTGTATACAGACTATATATGTATATGCACGTATGTGTGTAAGCGTGGATTCCGGAGTTTGGGAACAGTCGCAGGCCAGTTTCCTTGGAGCAAGCAGAGATGACGTTGTGTTCCATATGGGGTGAGTTCAACATGGCTCGGATAGCACGTGGTGCATCTTCCTCTTGAAATACAGATTAAGAATTCTGGGACTTGAGTAATAGGGGGCCACTCAACTTGATATCCTCAAGTTCTAGGGCAGCCACCGCCGTGAATCCGTCAGGCTTTAAATTGGTGAACATTCACAGTGATTTGAGAAGGCAAAGGTGTACTACATGAAGCTGTGTGACAGTCAAGCTTAGGACTATGGGCACTTAAGGTGTGAAACGGCAGCTGAATGTGCCTTTTTGTCTCCAGGACAACAGCATAAGAAATCGACTCCTTCTTGGAAAGTCTCCTTTCGTTCCAGGGAGCTCAGTCTCAGCGTGTGTGAATTTTAATATGCCGCTTGTGTCATGGGGTATAGAGTAGTAGGGGCGTCCCATTGCACCAAGGCCTTGACCCCTTGTCGGGATCTACAAAACAGGAAGAACCCCTCAATGAATTGGGGTCTATATCAATCCAGGCCCTCAGCGCTGCCCATTGTTGGCTCATGTTGGCTCTCTGTTTTCAGAGGGCCCGGATGGTTGTTTTTTTTTTTTTTTGTTCAGGGGGTGGGACACTTTAACATCAACTACCAAAAAGAAATAATACCGATTATTTAGGTGTTTCACCCGGACATTCGATGAGGGCCTGAGTTAATCCAGGGTTCCGTTAGGACAAGATCACCTTCATCTTGCTGGACCCTGACCTCGGCGACACCTTCGAGACTCAGATGGTGGGGGATGTGAACGTCTTCTACGTGGCTGAGGAGGAGCATCGCCTAGGGACTCGACTTGGGTGCCGGAGCGATGGCATCGCCATGAATGGTCCTTGGCTCCCTTGGTTTCCAGTTTCGAATTGCCGAGATGTGAGTCCTGAACTTCCGGGAAGATCTGGGTGAAAGCCAAAAAGAGCAGGTAATTTGTATTTCTTCCAGGCCCGCATTTGACACCCAGAGATTGTTACAGCACAGTCCCGGCCTTTTGATCATTTGTTTGCTACAGACCCGATCGCAGGGTTGCAACTCGGGGCATTCCAAAAACAGTCTCAGCTTCAACGCAGCAATCACGCTTCAGCTTCCGATGTTATTGTGCCAAACGTGTCATGCAGCCAACGTTTTGCCATCCAACATCAATCAGAAAGATCCTTCTGGCAGATGCTGGTTTTCCTTGCAAGATTACCCCGAGCACAGATTGAGACCAGGCATCCCCACTTTGAAAGCCGAGCTTGGGAGCACGTCAAACCAGAAAGCCCTGGCTCTACGGCACGGCGTGGGGTGCGCCTAGGCAGACTCCAGGTACAAATGCGGAGCCCGAAATGGTCCCTCTTCTTTTCTTTGTTTTACACGGCTTTGTTTTTTGGGGGGAGTAGATTGTGCGTGGCTCAGCCGGAGTGTTAGTGCTGGCGTGTAGTTTGTGGCCGTAGCAAGGCGTGAGGCCATGTTGGGGCCATGTTTTAAGGGCACGTGAAGGGGGACCCCTCTATGGTTAATTTCTTTCGGGCCCAGGAGCAGGCCTCCCTCTACCAGCAGGGGGAGATCGAGGCGGCGTAAGCCCAGGAACACCCATCTCGCAGACGCGGGGGCTGGGGGTAAAACATACCTGGGATATGTGGAGCTTCCGATTTTTTTGAGCGGCCACTTAAACACAAAAAACGGGGTTTGGTGGAACTTCCTATCTTTTCTGCAGCCGCCCAAAAACAAACCTGGGATGTGGAACTGAGCAAAGTGAAGCTGGCAACAGAAAATCGCCTAAACCTAGCCGTGGATTTGTGGACCGGGAAAAAAGTAGCCCCCCTCCCCAAAAACACACAAAAGTCAAGAAATATCCCCCCGGATCTGTTCACCGAACAACAAAAAGACATTCCCGACAGGATTTGTTGGAACGAACAAACAAAACCACGTGGAAGCGGCTTGCCGCGAGCAAACATGTGGAAGCTTGAAGGCTCGGCTCGGCTTGCCGCAGGTGATGGTGGCGAAGCGCTCCTGCCGCCGCAAGGGCCTGGCGCGGGAGGCGCTGAAGCTGCTGCAGGCCTTCTGCGGCCGGGAGCTCGGCACACGGCGCTTCGTGGCGAAGATTAAGGCGGGGTGGACCACAGGTGCGCTAAGTGGGTTTGGACCAAGTCTTTGTTCAAGTTTTTGGGTTTGGACCAATTTTGTTAGAGTTTTTCGGTTTGGACCATTTTTGGGTTTGGACCATTTTCTAGGGTTTGGACCATTTGTGTGGTAAACAGCAAATTTATAGACTTGTTTTGTCAAATCTGGCCCTGGTTGAGAGCTGGTTTACTTCATGTACCAGGGCCATCGATATTTTGCAAAGGGACACCTATGTATGGGACACGATTCGGGGATACCGAGCCCAGGTGGGTCGCTGTCTTTGGTGATTTGTGATACCCTTTGGTTTGTGGTTTTAAAGGAAAACCAAATGGAAACCGTTGCCAGTTTGGCGGGCCCCTATTTTTTAACACATCCCGGTCAAACTCACTCCCTGAGTTCATGAACTTTTGTCACTTTTTGGGAAGACCATTTTAGTGGCAAACAAAAAGCTTACACTTTCTTTGGCCAATGCACTGAGGAAGTGAGCAAAAGGGTCGATTTCCGCAATTATGCTAAGTCACCGATACCATTGCCGCTGCCTCCACTTGTCACATAGGCGCTGCACTTGGGGCGGCGCAGAAATCTGGAAAAAACTGCAACAGAACTCATGAGGAGCACGTGCGGCTGCTACCGTTGCGAATATGTTGCCAAAACATGGCCATCGCCCAGCATCTAAATCTACCATTCCACTGTATTCCTTGGTGGTATGTTGCAGACGGACAAAAAAGCCGGCAAAGGTGTAATACTGTAGATGTCCTTTATGCAGTATGCCACACTTCGCGCCGAATTGGTGGCAACATCACCATTTTGTGCCTTGCTGCAATGTCTCAAGCAGCATGCTCTTTGACTCTTGTCTCTTCTCAGAGACGACAAGTTTTGTTGATAGATGTTGCCAAGTTTCTAGGAAGCAATGTAACTAGCTTGGCCGTTCGTCTCAAAATGGTGGACCCGCCCGGTTTCCCTTCAAACCAACCGGTTAACGGATGCCCTCAACAGCGACACCTATGTTCGATCGATGGGCTCCGCATCAGGCATGGCTTCCTGCTGGCTTGAATGAGCGTACTTCAGACTTCCAGCGCAAGGCGGCTTCCCTTGCAGTCAACTGCCAACAAAAGAACCTAAGTGAATTATAACGACCTCACGCGACCCTAACCACCTTATTTCAAGTTGGTGACATATTAAAATTCACCCAGAAAGACGTTACCGTTAAAGGAACTCGATGTTGACTTGAACATATTTGTTTCATTTTTCCCCAACAGCCGGAAGCTATGTATGGGGTCTTTGCCCAGGCCTGGTTTGGGCCAGCTTTTCTTTTACCCTTTTTCGGGGGAGGGTTCCCCTACTAACATTTAAAAAAATCGGGTACCCTGATTAAGCTCTCTACTGGAGGACCTAGTAGGGGAACCCCCCTTTTTGGATGGTAAATGGAAACGGAAATCAAAAGGACGCCAACTTGAAGGAGTTGGTCCCCTTTTTTTAAGACCTCGCATTGCTCCGATCAACTTCCCTTTAAAATCAGAAAAAATGGGTACCCTTATTCTAAGCTCTCTACTAAAGAAACCTCGGTCACCTGTCCCTTCCCTAGATCAACTGTCGCACAAGTGGCGGCCCTTTTTTCCCAAATGGATGTCGTTGGGAAACCTTTTTCCCATTTTTGCCTGTTGTGGTTTGGTTGAAATCCAAATCCACTTTGCTGAAATTTTTGCGAAGTTTTGCTCCGCAAACGCGTCAATCTCCAGTCCGCTGGGAGAGCCAGGAGCACAACGAAGCCTCCATCGCGCTCTTCGAGTCCCTAGGCCGAGAGCGAAGCACAGTTTTTTCGCCAAACCTTGGGCCATTTTAGCAGGGCTCCTTAAAAGATCTCCATTTTGCAACCATTTGAAACGTGGCTTGTTCCACCAGAATAAAGGGAAACCACCATTTACAAGGCAATGTTCAGGTGTATAATGTAAGGATCCCTGATTTTGGTAGTTGGATTAGTAGTCCCCACGCAGAAGGCCATTCACCACTACGTGGGGGTAGTTGGATTATGGTAGTAGTTGGATTCTACGCAGTTGGCCATTCACCAAAAGGTGGTTCTACGTGGTTTAGTAGTTGGATTATGGTAGTCCCTGTATAAACCTAACGTCAGTAGCCCCGTTTTGGTATAGTCAAGAAACAAGTGCTTGGTATGGGTTCCATTAGTTCAGTTTTTCCCAAGTAAACCCTACGCAAACAACTTAAGGGACGAATCCTAGGCATGCAAACTTCTTCGAGTGAGGGCTGTAGGCTACGGGGCCCAATGCATGAATTGTTTGGCAGCAGGGGGTGCGGGCTTGGAAGCAAGTTGATGCGGGCGCTGGCCAATAGAACTGCCCGTGAAAGACATCCACCGTTCATAAGTCGGCGGGGCTTTCCTCGTTCTCTCCGACAAGCCCCGCTAAACTTATTTTTAGCCCTGATGATTCGGGGGGAAGACTATTGCTGCAGGGTCAAGATTTCTCGGGGGAGGATCTGATGCTCCAAGACTAGGAAGCGATGAAATATTTGTGGATGGGGAAGAGCAGTCACCCTGTCACTCTCACAAATCAAGATTCGAACTAACCGATCCGACAGGCTACCAGCTGCTGAAGCGCGTGGAAGTCTTTGGAGAGGTGCACTACTCGCCTGAGCCCCAGTCTTTGAAATAGGAGGCCCGACCAAACTTTGCCATTTCACTCCAATTGTTTGGGGTCAATGTCACTCTCGATTGAAGGTGAGCAGCCATTGTCCTTGCCAAAACAAGGATAATCTATAGTTTGGAGATATGGGTGTGTTTTTCCCTGAAACTTTTATTCATTTTATTTTCCGGGGGTGTCCCGTTAAAACCACCAAAACCAGGGTACCCTCAAAAAAGATTCGCCCGTATAGTACTCTGCAGCTAATCGTTGGAAAAGCTTGGCAACATGTCTGCAGAACGACGTGTTTGCTGAGCCTTCGAGAAGCCCAGATCCGCCAGTTTGACGGCCTCATCACAATTTGTTGATCGATGCCCCGTTTTTTGCCACGCAGAGCGCGCTGCTTGAGCACGGGCCCCTTGTGTTTTTGGGGCGTATCTTGGATGTCATGCTTGTTATGGCAGACTTCGATTTGCTCAAGGAGTTGTTGCTTATGTGTTTCCTTTGCCTTTGAAAGAAGGCCTGCTTTTTGATAGCGACCTTCAGGAGTTTTCGCATGCTTCCTAAGGATTTCCTCTTGCATTTGCGACCCATTGTAATTTATTCAGGTTGAGGATGTCAAGTCTCGCGGATCGCGGTCAATCTCCGAGTTCGATTCCGACCGAGCCTGGTGGTTTGGACCTTCAGGCTGGAGCTGAGTGAGCCAGAGGACGTGCCCGCGACCATTCTGGCGCTGGAGCGGGGGAGGGGGAGGGTTTGGGCTGAGTCGGGTTTGCGGAACCCGCTGAAAATGGTGGTGGCGGCGGTTGGGTGGGTGGGGTGGGGTGGGTGTGGGTGGGGTGGCTGGGTGTGGGTGGTGTGGGGTGTCTGGTGTGGGTGGGTGGGTGTGGGTGGGGTGGGTGGGTGTGGGTGGGGTGGGTGTGGGTGGGGTGGGTGGTGTGGGGTGTGTGGTGTGGGTGGGTGGGTGGGTGTGGGTGGGGTGGGTGGGTGTGGGTGTGGGTGTGGGTGGGTGTTTGGGTGTGGGTGGTGTGGGGTGGGTGTGGGTGGGTGTTTGGGTGTGGGTGGTGTGGGGTGTGTGGTGTGGGTGAGTGGGTGTGGGTGGGGTGGGTGGGTGTGGGTGGGGTGGGTGGGTGTGGGTGGGGTGGGTGGGTGTTTGGGTGTGGGTGGTGTGGGGTGTCTGGTGTGAGTGGGTGAGTGTGGGTGGGGTGGGTGGGTGTGGGTGGGGTGGGTGTGGGTGGGGTGGGTGTGGGTGGGTTGGGTGTTTGGGTGTGGGTGGTGTGGGGTGTGTGGTGTGGGTGGGTGGGTGTGGGTGGGGTGGGTGGGTGTGGGTGGGGTGGGTGTGGGTGGGGTGGGTGGTGTGGGGTGTGTGGTGTGGGTGGGTGGGTGGGTGTGGGTGGGGTGGGTGGGTGTGGGTGTGGGTGTGGGTGGGTGTTTGGGTGTGGGTGGTGTGGGGTGGGTGTGGGTGGGTGTTTGGGTGTGGGTGGTGTGGGGTGTGTGGTGTGGGTGAGTGGGTGTGGGTGGGGTGGGTGGGTGTGGGTGGGGTGGGTGGGTGTGGGTGGGGTGGGTGGGTGTTTGGGTGTGGGTGGTGTGGGGTGTCTGGTGTGAGTGGGTGAGTGTGGGTGGGTGTGGGTGGGTGTCCGGGTGTGGGTGGGTGGGTGTCCGGGTGTGGGTGGGTGGGTGTGGGTGGGTGTGGGTGGGGTGGGTGGGTGGGTGGGTGTGGGTGGTGTGGAGTGTATGGTGTGGGTGGGTGAGTTTGGGTGGGTGTGGGTGGGTGTCCGGGTGTGGGTGGGTGGGTGTGGGTGGGGGTGGGTGGGGTGGGTGGGCGGGCGGGCGGGCGGACCTGGATGGCTTGTTGGCTAGCTGGTCAAGGAGCCATTCAAATTTAGAATGTAAAGACGGAGCAAAGCCGGTGAAGATGACCCGGGTGGGGGGCTATTCTAGTTTCAATTAAACTCTTTGACAAGGGCGACTTAAACTCTGGAAAGGGTGCTCCATTTTGGAAAACACTCAGTTGAAAGCTGAAGGTGTTGTAGGCCTGCTTTTGCTTTGACCGGCGCCCACTGTATGGAAGGGCAAACGGGCATGCATGGTCCCTACAGAGACGGTCCGCATACATTCGCTGAATGGGAAACATGTTTGGATGGGGGGGGCTTAACCGGCACCAGCTGACCACTCACCAGCAAGCAGTGGATCCTGTTCTGGGGTTCGGTCAGTTTGGACCCTGTAAGGTTACTTTTGGGCGATCCGTTCCTTATTGCAGTTTGGTGAAGAGTCAGAGGAAAGGAGTTTCAAGGAAACCCAAAGGGACACCGATGTTGGAGGTGACGCTTAAAGCAGCACCAACAGCACAGAGAACACTAGAAACACAGCCCCCTTCAAAAAATCCAGCCTTGCAGGGGGTACCTCTCTGATGTGTGGCTCTGTTGCCCAAAGCCGACCTTTTGACCTTTTGGTTTCTCCTTTTTGGTCTAGTTTTAGTCATGGCCCCAAAAGGTGACCACCTTTTATTTGTGGGTCCCTAAGGGGCAAGTGAGGGTGGGGAATACACAATCTGCTTCGTTCCCAGACGCCATCTTGAAGCCATTTTGCGCGGTGTGCGCACCAGGACGACGAGGAGACGCGCGGCGAAAACATGTGCGTCCGCGGTTTGGCCCAGTTCCTGTGCCAAGGGAACGCCCAAAGTGGCAAGTGCTGCAAATGGGAATCCCACTTTGGCAATTACCACAAGAAAGTGTTTTCCCCACCTTGGAAACAATCATATCCCCCTAGTGTACCCACAAGTTGGTGGATGTGTTTGGTCTACAACGCCGCAATTGCAGTTTCGAGGTTCCAAGAGCAATTTGATGTGGTCGACTTTATGTACATTCAACATGTTTTGTTTTCCCCGTTTTTTTATCCTTCTTTTTTTCTGAGCACCAAAAACGGTCCTAGTTGTAAAGATCCTTCATGCTGGGCATGATGCCGAGTTTTGTCAAATCATTACCATACTTTGCAGAAACTGTATATGGCAAGCACGATTAGGTGCTTGTTTGTCATTTGCACACAAGTTGCCGAAGTTGCTGCAAAATCAAGACACTGTTTAGAGGCCACTGCGTGATCAGAATGTGACGAATGATGCTGGCTACATGTCACCCAGATCCTAAGTTGCTTTGGTTTGCCAGGATAGCCATTTCAGGTACCAATGCAAAGGTTCCTAGAGTGGTACTTTCTTCACTGTCATGCTGTTGAATTTTGTGACGTTTCTGTGAGGCTCTCAGGCACTTCTGCCTGAACGTCCTCTCAAGTCGAGATTGCCAGCCTTTGGACATATCCAACTGTTCCTTGGGTCAGACATGTTCCAAACAAGCTTTCTAGGCCTCGACATCCCAATATGTGTGCGACACACGGATGTTGGACGTGAAGTATCTTGTAGCTTGCTGTCTCTCTCCCTCTCTCTCTCTCTCTCGCTGAAGGTGAACCTAGATTTGTTTACAAGAGGCAACATCCAGGTTGCATCACATGCCTCTGACTTGCAGCCAGAGCCCGTGTGTTCAAGCCCGTTTGTCTCAGCCCTCTTTTCTCACACAACTCTCGTGGACTCTGAACACACCACCCCTCGAAACGCTCGAAGACAGGACTGTGCGAATGCTTCCCCGATTTTGGTGTGAAACCATGAAATCTACTCTTTCTTCTCTACTGGGTGCTAAACAGCCTACAATTGAGAGATGTCTGCAGCAAATGGGGAAGCAAGGAGCCGGTGTCTCAGAGTTCTATGAAGAAACGGAAACCAAAGGAATCACACTTGAACAGGCAACCAAACAAAGCTGGACGGCAACCATGGCAGGCATCACTTAGATGCTCTTTGGTTGCGCCTTCATCCACAAACTGTTTGGGCAAACATGTTGTTGTTTATTAGTATTATTGTCATTGTGTTTTTGTAAGGGTCTTACTTTTGGTTTTAAATTAAAGGAAACCACAAGGACACCCCAGGAACCGCCCGATTTGGGGTGGTTCCATTTCTTGAGAAAACCCCTGTGTGCTTCCCACCTCGCTGGGTTCAACCGCCGCCCGACCGATCAAAGCCCACAGTCTGTGGGGATTACGCATAAGTGCGAGGCAGACCCGCGCGGGTCTGTGACCATGGTGTTCACCGGAGTGCTCACTGAAACCCCAACCTGGGTTCTCCAACAAAGCCGATTTTGGGGCTTCATGACCGTTTCGGGCTGTGCATATCTGGATCTCTTGCATCAATGTTCCATGGTTCACAATGTGAGATTCCCCCTCGTTTCAAAGCGATCAGGACACTAAGCATCCGAGCACGCCTGGCAAACCTGATTGGCCTCCCTCCGCCTGGGCGCATGCAATATCCTCAAAGTTGCTTCCGCCAGAGACTTTGAGACTCCTTGGGTTCATTTTCAGGGACCCAGTCGGCTAGGTGCAAGTGCCCAAGTTCGCCAACTCCAAGGGTGCAACATGCAAGCTCTCAGTGCGCGTCGCGGGACCCAGCCGAAGGGCGTCGCTTGCCTTTGCTTTTGTTCCAAGGGAAACGGTCTGACAAACCGAACGGCGTGATCCACGGTTTGACCTATGTGCCAAAGTCGCGGGTGCCCTTCCTTTTGGTTTCAACAAGTTATTTGACCTTTTGACCTCTTGCTTTTAGTCTGGCCTATTTGTAGTCATGGTCCCCAACGAGTTGACCTCTTATTTCCAAGTCTTCGCCGCCACGCTGCACTCATCTTGACAAATGCACCAAACAATTACCATCAGCCCTGGCTCAACTGCTCCAGAGGAAACTACAATGACCTGCCAAGGGAAACAATCTCCAAATTCTGCCGTGAGACGACGCTGCCAGTTGCTAGGGCGTCCAGCTGCTTTGTTTGCCCGGCTCGGGTTTTGGCTGACGCATCTGGTAGTGAGGTAGTGAGGTGATGATTACTGAGCTCTTGGATGTGTGTTGCAAACTGCTTGAATCCTTTGACGCGTGCGTGAAACACTAGTGCTTCACATTCAAGCGCGGCTGTTTCTTGAGCTCTTGTGCTGGTGGCTGACATGGAAAGCGATCGCACAGCTTTGTGTATGAACCGCTGTGGTCCATTCGCGAGGAATCGCCCAACATAATTATTTGGACGTGTGTCAGAAAGCAAAACACAATTACAAAAATGCACCAACCCAAAAGAACAAATCCCAGTTTGAGCTGGTCTATTTGCGTATGACCAAGAGTTGCCATACTCGCCAAGGAAGCATGTAGCTTGCGCAGCTTCGCGGGGCTTCGCGATGTGTTTTCATTTGGTGGATGGCCCAGGTGCAGTTCACTTCAAGGTCACATCAGAGCAGCATGTTGGGATGTTGCGTGGAGAAGCCAAAAGGAGGGTGGAAGATCTTAATGCTGTTTTGACATGAACGTTGTTCATTTCATCAATAAAGCTGGCAGGGGAAGCTGAAAGGGAAGCCACGGTTTCAGGTGCGTGGAAGATCAGTTTCCTCTAAAATGGACCCCCTGTGAGATGCTATGGCAATGTGAGAGGTAGGATATGTTCCACAACCACCGGTACCCTTTCGGGTTTTCGCGGGAAACCGACCAAGAAACCGCAAAATTTCGTGTGGGCCACCCCATGGACCACCGGCGCTTGGCGCTTCTTTCCAGGTGCTTTCCGCGTCCCTTCCGGGCCTCCCGGCGCCGGGCACCTTCTCTCGCAGCAGCCCGGAACCTCGGATCCTGAGACCGCGTGTGCGTGCCTGTCCCCACTTGGACGAAGTACCGAAATGTTAACTTGGTGGCTCCCAGCCATCCGGTTCCTTAGCTTTCTAGCCGTTTGGTGCTTAGCGGTAGTTTCCATTTGACCCACTACAAGCTAAACTTTTAGTGGGGGATCTGAGGGCAGCCAGTTAAGCTAGCCCTTAGTTGGTAAATGGGAAGCCAGCCCCAGAACACCAATCCAAACCAATGCAACCCACCAAGAGAGAAGCTGGAATAGCGGCAGAAGATTGGGGGTGAAATAGCGGCAGAAGATTGGGGGTGAATTGAGGAGAAGAAGTTTCAGCCGGAAACAGAGTTGTTGTTGTTTTCTGTGGGGCCCCCACCCCCCTTTTTCAAAGGGGGGCGGGGGCCGGGGGGGGGGGGGAAGTGGCTCCTGGAGATCACCTAAAGAAATCCCCGGCAGAGCAATGTCCAAAAGCATCATACCTTTCCCAGAAAAAGATCGCGGCCTGAAGGAACGTG